TCGTGATAAAAGTAAATACAGTCCTCAACTGCTTTTATTTTTTCACGTGACCACTGAACTTTGTTTTATTGAAGGAGGTTGGCTTCTTGTCTCCAACGTTGTCATTGACAATCCGTCATCCCCAAAAATGTCAGTAAAGACGTCATACCGTGAAATCAGCAGTTACCATAACAACCAGACGTTTCTGACCAAGAGTGCCATGAATGAGCTCAGAACGCACCTGTCTTTCACTCAACTGAGATTCCACTGCAGTAAACAACAGGGACGTACTTTCCACGTGACCACGGTCGCTAACAGCACTGGTGAAGCTGTAGTCCAGTACTTCAGCGGTCAGACGGACGTCCAGCCCGATGCCTGTGGCTCGTTTGTTAGAATGGAGAATGACAACTCCGGATTGGCAGCAGTTTGCCGCCAGTGGGGATATAATGGTACGAGCCATTACGTCGGCAAATGGGGGTGGTATGCTGTAAATCAAGATAGATTGTACAACCATGTGGCTTATGTAGCATATTCATATCACTGGCTGCTGACTCCAGATGGCTCAAGATGGGAATGTGACGACTATCTCGTTGGAGTGTCTTCTGGTGATTTCTGGAAAGTCTTTGTTCGTTAAGATCCTGGTCCACTGATCACTTGTAGCTGGACAAACGTTTTTATCTAATCTTCGATACATACAAAAATAACAATTTTAAGTTAAATAGAGTTGTGCGATTAGAAATTTTGTTTCACGTTTAAGGACCTTTTAGACAGTTATCAGCTCGCATAGAACGTCTATAAACACGGGAAATAACACCATCGTTAGCAAATCGAAAATGAAAATCCGATCGAAAATCCAATAAACGATGTGCAGCTTAATAATAAAATAAAACAAAACATAATTGTTTTATGGACAAATTAAATGTTCATCCTAGAGGGATTTGCTAAAAACTCTAAATAAACCAACTTTAGCTGAGCAGCGAGCTCGTAACATCGCTGCCTCGATTTTTAGAACAATCAACGGTCCTAGCCCGCCTGCTTGCGTGACTTAATACAACTTAGGAATTCGTCTTATAACTTGAGAGGTAATAACATTCTTAATATCCTTACGGTGTACACCACAAAGTACGGCCTTAAATAATGGCGATATTTTGGATGCAAATTATAAAACAGTCTCCCGGACTTGAGCAGATCCTCGACCAGCTATAAAGCGTTTAGAACTACATTAAATGACGTGCACATCAGCTGCCATACATGTGTGAACTAATGTTAACAATTTTTCCTTTTCATATCTTTTACTTGTAAACAGTTTTTGTCTGTACAGTTTATATACATTTTATATTCTTATACATTTTTAGATATTTTATAGTAGCTAGTTATGTAATCTCTGTTAGTTTAGTTTAATATTTATTCCTAAATGTACATTTTTACTTTCTTATTTTGTTTTCTTGGCGAACCTGTAAACTGGTGCATCCTGTAGACTCTGCTTATCAAGTCTATGGTACGCACCATTACCATAATTAAGTGTACGATCAAGTTAAATAAACAATGCCTATGTTCATGTCTATAATAAAATAAAAGGTAAAATAAAATGCTTTTTGATGTTTTATGATCTTTTTTGTCGATATATTTGCTCTTATCATAACAATTTATCATTTCATGTAACTCTACTGTCTGTCATGAATTAAACATGCAAAAACAGTTATGGTGGATGGTAACAGCGTTATATTGTCTTGTTTTACTTTCATTCGCAAGCCGATGAAACTTCACACAAATACAGTTCCCTGCGATATTAAATTTCCATCACTCTAGGCTCTCATAATCCTGTAAAGAGCTTAATATTGGCTATTTTCTTTTCCCTTTAGAACTAACTGCGGTTTCTTTCGTTTAGTTAATTTTTTCTAGAAAATAACTGAAACAATAGGCAGCCCAAAATTAAAAATCAACGATATGTAAGACACACTGCGGTGACAAACATGACAAAACAACGCATGTCGTAAAAATTATGGTTTTGTGCTTGACGTTTCGTATGCTACAACATCAGGGACCGCGTAGGGGGGGGGGGGGGGG